CCGCCATGGTTCTGGGGCTTCTCTAGACTCTTTCCGGTCCGCCCTGAAAACCCACCCGGCTTTCGTCCACTTGCGAAATCCCTCCTCCGCTTCTTCAGTTCCTGCTTTCCTCTCACTTTAGGTTCCGCCTCCCGCTCCTCCTAGTTTTTCGCGGTTTCCCTATTGCTGCAGCGGAGCTTGTTCAAGGTTTGCCTTAACCGGAGACTGTAGGAATCGAGAGATCAAAAAGACAGTTGGAAACAGGTAGTTTGCTGAGCAGGAAGCCCGATGCGGGACTTGATCCCAGGACCCGATTCCGGGACTCCAAGATCATGACCCGAGCCGAAGGCAGTCGCTTAACCAACTGAGCCACCCAGGCGCCCCCCTCTTTCTTTTTTAATAGACTTTTATTTTAAAACAGTTTTAGGTTCATAGCAAAATGGAGCAGAAAGTTCCATTGTAACCTCTGCCCACCCCCATCCTCCCTCCACCAAGATCTGGCTCCAGAATGGTACATTTGTTATAATCTATGTACCTACATTGGTTGACACATCATTATTATCCCCAAATTGGTAGTTAACATTAAGGTTTATTCTTGGTGTTATACATTCTATGGGCTTGGACAAATGTGTAATGGTGGACCACCATTACAGTGTCGTATATAATAGTTTCACTGCCCCAAAAATCCTGTGTGCCACCTATTCACTCTTCCTTTCTCCAACCCTTAGCAACCACTGATCTTTTTACTATCTCCATAGTTTTGCCTTTTCCACAGTGTCATGTAGTTGTACTCATACAGTACATAGCCTTTTCAGGTTGGCTTCTTCACTAAGTAATATGCATTTAAGTTTCCTCTACGTCTTTTCATGCTTTGATAGCTCATTTCTTTTTAGTGTTGAATAATATTCCGTTATCTAGATGTACCACCGTTTATTTATCCTTTTGCCTACTTAGTTGCTTCCAAGTTTTGGAAATTATTAATAAAGCTGCTATGAATATCTGTGTGCATGTTTTGGGTAGACATTCTCTTTATTGTTTTTTAAAATTTATTTATTTTTATTGAAGTAGAGTTGACATAAAATATTACATTAGTTTCAAGTGTACGTCATAGTGATTCAAAAATTATATATTATAAAATGCTAACCATGATAATTGTAGTTACCATCTGTCACTGTAGTTACTATAACATTATGGACTATATTTCCTATGCTGTAGTTTTCATCCTCTTTTTATCTATTTATTGTGGAAATAATTTTGCAGTATATACATATATCAAGTCATTATGTTGTATGCCTTAAACTAATACAATGTTATATGTCAGTTATATCTCAATAAAACTGTGATGGGGGAAAGAATTATTTAATTCTCAAAGGAAGGATGGAGCCCTAAGTCCATAGTGGTGGTGTTTTTAATAAATTAAGCTATACTTGGCTTCTCAACCAATTCTTATTTACTAATAAGAATTCAGGAAGGAGTAGGAGTGGGTTTTTTTTTTAACATACTTAAAATTTGTTTGTCGGGGCGCCTGGGTGGCTCAGTCGGTTAAGCATTTGCGTTCAGCCCTCAGGTCATGATCTCAGGGTCCTGGGATCGAGCCCTGCATCAACTCCCTGCTCAGCGGGGAGTCTGCTTCTCCCTGTCCCTCTGTTGCTCCCCCTGCTTGTGCCCTCTCTCTGTCTAATAAATAAAATCTTTAAAAAAAATGCTTTCATATACATATTAAAAAAAACTGTCTATTTGCTTTTTACTTGTTCCCTTCTCTACTTCTGTATGTTCAGATCCTATCTTTTTAAAGTTTTATCAACTTGAGAGAAAGAGAGCATGGGGGGGAGGGGTAGAGCGAGAGGGAGAAGCAGGCTCCCCGCTGACGAAGGCCTTGATCCCAGGTTCCTGGGACCATGACCTGAGCCAAATGCAGACGTTAAACCGATTGAGCCACCCAGGTGCCCCCAGATCCTATCTCTTTTTGAAAATCCAACTAAAATGAGAAATTCTACATTTATCAATATAAACTACGTTGTGATCCTCACCATGTGTATTATTTGCTGTTTAGTATGTGACTTTGCTGATATAAAATCATCTTAACAGTTCTTGGACTTATAAACCCAGACAAAATAAGTGTATATTAACCATAAACATTGTACAGATTTCCCAAGTAAGCAAAATGTTGAAAAATCAATAGAAAAGACTCTTTTGAAGAAAACAGGAGCAACAAGAACTCTTATACTTTGCTATACCATGGATTGGTACAACCACTTGGAAAACCAGTTTGACAGTACCTAGAAAATAGGCATGCTTCATAACCTAGCAGTTTCACTCCTAGATACACATAGTAGAGTAATTCTTGTACATGTGTACATATACAAGAATGTTCATAATGGCATGCACAGTTCATAATAGCCAAAAATTATAAACAACCCTAATTTCCATTAACAATAGAATGAGTGATAACTATATTCACACAATAAAAACAAGTGATCTTGTTTACTTATTGTTTTTTATTGTACTACACAATAACATGGTTGAATCCTAAAAATAAATGTTGAAAGAAGACATAAACAAAATATATAATGTATGATTTTATTTGTATAGTTCAAAAGCAAGCAAAATAAACCATAGCATTTAGGGATGTATATTTAGAGGGTAAAAGCAAGGAAATATTTATTATAACAAGCAAATCAGTAGTTACTTCTTGAAGAAAGGGACTGTGTTAGCAGAGGGAGATAGGCAGGGCTTCTAAAGACACTTATAATGTCTCTTGTGTTTATATGAGCATTTATTTGCTTTATGATTTGTTAATTTATGTATTATGTACTTTTCTGTTATATTTCTAGTAAAAACAAACAAGAGAAAAGCCAAATGTTTTTTATTGCTCTTTATTTAAAAACATAACCAGATGGACCTTGGTTTTTATATTGTCTGGTTGTTTTTCAGTCTGAAAATAAACATTGGAAGTATATAATTAGCAACAGTGTAATGAAGTCATAGCATTTACAGGATTCTCAAATGGGTACAATATAAAACCTGTCATAAAAATTAGTAAAAGACATAAGATAGAAAATATTTTAATACTGGTACAATGGCAATAGCAGCTTTATAAATGTTTATATATAGGATTTCTATAGCATTTTTTTTTAAAGATTTTATTTATTTGACAGAGAGAGATACAGCGAAAGAGGGAACACAAGCAGGGGGAATGACGGAAGGAGAAGCAGGCTTCCCGCTGAGCAGGGAGCCAGATGTGGGGCTCAATCCCAGGACCCTGGGATCATGACCTGAGCCGAAGGCAGACACTTAACAACTGAGCCACCCAGGCACCCCTTCTATAGCATTTTTTAATGAACCCTTATTCCACAAGAATGATCAAATCATCAAATCATTTAAATTAAATTGAGACAGTACACGGTGGTTTATTAATATAAGCATAAGTGCCCCATAAAACACTGTCACAAATACTCAAATGTTTTATTCTCAGTGATCATTCCTTTTATTCTTATATAATATAAATGTAGCTAGCAGGTTTTGTTTTTTGTTTTTTAACTAGAAGTAGGTATGTTTCTTAACTTTATTACCTGTTTAATTTTCATTCATAAATGTGTTTATAAACATAAATGTGGGTCTCATAAGAACAAAACATGGCCCCCTGGTCTGCTTTCCAGTCTGGTGACTTTCCACAACACTCTTTTTGGCATCTCAAAGCAGCATTTATCTGTGGATATATAGGCATTTCTGGGAAATCTTTTGTAGCCTATGCTAAAATGATGATATTTCAAGGATAGCATCCATGTAGCTGCTTCCTGTCAGGCTAGGAAGTTCAGTGAAGATCTGAAACACCTCATTTCCTATCCATGAGGCAGCTGCTTTCCTATTCTTAGAACTGCAGGGATCAAAGCTAATCCTGAACCTTCAGTCACAGGAACTCACCCTAATGAGAATTCCTCTTCCTCTGTGATACTTAACACATTAGTAATGGGGATCTTGGCTGGAGCTACAGTTGTGTCCACCACTAAGTAGACATGTCTGACAAGCTGGGGGCTCCCAGAAATACTTGGCAACTTTGTACGGGACTGACCGATAGAGTGACCAGATACAATAAAGAATGCCCCGTTAAATTTGAATTTCATATAAACAATGAATAAATATTTTAGTATAAATATATAGCTCCCATGCAGTATTTGGGACATATTAAAACTAAAAAAACATACCCACTGTTTAACAGGACATATTTATATTTAAAAGCTATTTGTTTTTTATCTGAAATTCAAATTGGCTGTCATATATTTGTAATTGCTAAATCTGGCAACCCTGGATGGGCAGGAAAGAACAAAAATCCAGTGAGGTGTGCATTATTACTGTTACTGAAGCTATAGGCTATTGAGGACAGGAATTAGGTCTCACAGAGAATCTGCTATGGACTTCAGATAATCCTTGGCAGGCCACTGTGGAAAATACAAGGTTCATGTTGAGATCCTCGTAAAACTTAAAATTAGCTGCATGAATGTGGACAGAAAATATCAAAGAAAGGAATATCTTAGACTTCAGCAAACCAGATACGACTACCTAAATACCATTTCTAACTGCTAGAAATGGTACATTCTAATTTTTAAGGTTATATTGGACATTTTACTTCAAATCCATTTGGAAAATAATTGGGTTGGGATGGAGGACGGTCTTACCTCTTAACTGTTTACAGTAAACAGAAATAAAATCTAGAGGATCTTTTTTACTGATCAAGTCTATAGCACTTAGTGAATGCATTAGCTTTATAGGCTGAAATACTTTTCTTTTTGATTACCTGAGAATACGCAAGAAGAATGGGAATCGGGTTATTTCATTTTATTTTTTAAGGAATCAGGTTATTTTCTTAATGTCAAAACTGCACCTACTGAGTATAAATTTGTTATCTAGTTAAATTTGAACAACCTCTCCAACCTAAATTGGGTAATTCCAGAAAAAACTTCACTTTGGGGAATGCATTTTCCCATCTGTTCTCTTATTGATCATGCAAACTAAAAAAATACCCAAATACCCACTTTATACCACAGTGTGTATGGGGGCTCCGTACATACTTTAATTCTTCAAATGGAATTACATATTAGTATAATTATTTATACACACCCTACTACATTAAAAAAAAGGGTTGGGGTGATTTTATCTGTGTATTTTATGGATCATCATGTGGTGTCAGGCAGAGTTGGCATCAGTTTTGTTCATCAAAGCTGCTTGTAGAAAGTGGCAGGGTTTGAGTTGGGCTTCTAGGGTGAGCCATCTATGAAAAAAAAAACGGTCCCAATTATAATATGAATTATGTTCCTGTGGCCAACACAGATCTCCTTCCTCACTAACAGAATCCAGATTTTGTGCAGGGCAGCAATACAGCCAGAACCCCTTTTCCCAGTTTTTCTGATATAATTAGAAGGTGGATAGAACCTGTTTAAAGAGAAGAGTGGTAACTGAGCTAGCATAACCGTTTGTCCTTTGCCTTTCTCCTTATCTTGCCTAGAATGTGGACACTGGGCTTCAGGAGGTGTAGGCATTCTTTACCATGAGGATAAAAGCCACACATTAAGGATGGAAGAGCAGGGATGACATGTGAAGCTGCTGTCCCAGTTATGGCCTGCCTCCTTCCCAAAGGAATATGTAGGTAAGAAAAATAAGCCCCTACTTGGTCAAGCCACAATGGTCAGATTTTTGTTACCTAGTGCAAAAGCAAATTTTGTTACCAAATGCAAAACCTAACTAATACAGTTGCTTCAGACTTAAACAAAAAAGGAAGCCTAAGGACTGGGTGGGGGGGGGGGGTGGTGAGAGGGGGAGTAGAGTCATTTTATGTCGAACAACCATTTTTAAAAAACTTCCTCCTACTAAGTGGATTTTGGTGAATACCTTATATAGCAGATATCTTTTCTGGGATTTTTGATGTTGTTGCTCAATATGTGTGCTTATTATTTATCGTAATTTCATTTTTTTCCACATTACTCAACTCATTATAGTAATTATGGGGTAGGGCAGGGACAAAAAAGAATCCCAAAGCTGAACAAAGAAAGGAAGGGCCTTAGTCCTTCAGTGAGGCCTCTGCCTTCTGCCCCCACCCTTCATAATTTGTGGTATCACCAAGGAATGTGATCTGGGGGTAGACTCCCTACTGGATGTGGCCACACCTCCAAAGAAGGCAGTGTAGTGTCCAGGAGGATGAAGTTGATTGGCAAGAAGGAAACCAAGCTGTTTGCAAAAGGCACTGATTCTTAATGAGGAAACAAAGGGAGGACAGTGTTGGGTTGGCAAAGTGTCAGCAGTGAAGTCCGTGGTGTATCTCTATCTCCAGAGGGATTTGGAAATGCAAGCTTCATAGCCAAAGGGGCCAGCAGCCCTGTGTCCCAGCACTCTAGTAGGAGTGGCAGAAGGATGGCTACTCCCCACAGATCCAGTGACAGAAGTGAACAGGGAGATGACAGACAAAAGGGTTTGGAAGAAATCACATCAGGCCCCATGATATACTAGATTTTGGTGTATGGGTCATACATGTAGGTGACAAAGAAGAAAGCTGCTGAGACCTTTTCCTAGCAACTGCACGATCTGCTCCCTATCTATATCTCCATCCCTGTCTTTCACCACTGTCAGACTTGCTCTCTTTGTTACAGCTGCTTTGGCTCCTTTTCAGTTTCTCAGTTAGGCCATGATCCCCCCACCATAAGACCCTTGCATATACTGTTCTTTTTGCCTGGAGCTCTTTCTTCCCAGACATCCATGGTGGGCGCACCACCTTATCCCATAGGTACCCTTCCCAGTTAACACCTATTCATCCTTCAAGTCTCACTTCATCACTTCCTAAGGGAATCCTTCCTAGATCACCCAGGCTAGATAAAGTTCCTCTATGGGTTCCCACAGAACTCTGTTCCTTTCCTTTATAGTACTTATCTCAGTGTAGAATTATACAAATATGTGATTATTTGACTAATGTCTATTTTCCCCACTAGGCTAAAAGCTCCAACACAGTAAAGCTAGGTTTGTTTTTGCTCACCACCGTATCCCTAGTACTCCAGCACAGTGCCTGGCATATGGGAAGTGCTTAATAAATACTTATCTAAAGGAATTAACAAAACCAGACATTCATGGTTAAAGTAGAGATGATAATGTTAGCTATGTCACAGAATTTTATAAAGCCTAAATATGAAAGTGTTTTGTAAAGCATAAGGTGCCATTTAAAAATTATTATAAAAAAGATCCTTTGGTTTATACGATTCTAAATAAATGATTTTGAAGAAAAGGAAACTTTTTTTTTTCCCCCCTAAAGGCTTACCTGAAACTTTCTCCTCAAGGCCCGGGTCATTACTGGAGTCAGCCCAGTTCCTGTTTCCATATTTTCTTTATTGGTAAGTGGGGTTCCACCTGGGCTCCTGCAAAGGTACTGACAATATTAGAAGCTGTGTTTTATGCTAACTTTTCAAATGGATTTAGAAAGCATAAAGATAAGAGAGTGTATTACCTCTCTACATCAACTTTTCTAAGTAGTTTCCGCAGATCTATTTGGCTTTTACCAGGGGTACTGATGAAATAAAGATATAAAAGTTAGAGCTTGCCAGACTTTATCATCTTTCCCAAAGCAAAGCAGCCATTTCTATAGGCAATGTCCTAGAAAGTAGTTCTATTTGTTACATTAAAATATAGCAGCAGAGGGGCACCTGGCTGGCTCAATCACTAGAGTTTGTGACTCCTGATCTCGGGGTCGTGAGTTCAAGCCCCACGTTGGGCACGGAGCCTACTTAAAAACAAAAATAGCTATAGATGCTGATAGGAGTATAAGGTGACATAATTGTCCTAATAAGTAATAAGTAATTATACATATAAGAATCCATCTTAGGGAAAGACTCAGCTATGCACACAGATGGTGGACAAGGATGTTCACTGAAGAGTTAGAGATAAAAAAATCATAAACAACCTAAATGTCTCAAAACAGGAGTTTATCCATGAAATTTGCATTTAATATACTATATATACAGAAAAAGTCAAAATGGTGCTTTAAAGTGATTTTTAATAAGATGGGGGAAAGTTCTTGACACATTAAACGGGAAAAGCCTTAACTGTATGTACAGTATGATTACACACAGGTACACAAACACGTACACATGTGTGCACACACACATGATTTCACCGAATCCAAGATATACTAGTTTTCATATTTTATTATTTCTGAAATTGGGCTGTTTTAAAAATCCTTTTTTTTTCCTTTTTTAAGTAATCTCTATCCCCAACATGGGACTCAAACTTATGACCCAAAGATCTTCCGACTAAGCCAGCCAGGCACCCCTAAAAAAATTCTTGATATTATTTCTTTTCCTCCCAAATCCATTTATTTTTATTTTACTTTATTTTATTTTATTTTATTTTTAAAGTAATCTCTGTGCCCAGCTTGGGGCTCGAGCTCACAGCTGGAGATCGAGAGTCACATGCTCCACTGACTAAGCCAGCCAGGCGCCCCGAGCTACCCCCGCCCCCAAATCCACTATTAAATCAATGGTGTATTGTATAATAAACAGCATCATGAAATGGAAATAATAGAGTAGATACCTGCACAAAGACTAGAATGATAAACAACAGTATGTTAATAATAGCTATCTTCAATTATACAGTTATTTGAATGATTTTTTCTTTTTTTTTAAATTTTTTAAAGATTTTATTTATTTATTTGAGAGAGATAAGCAGGGGGAGGGGCAGAGGGACAAGCAGACTCCCCTCTGAGATCATGACCTGAGCTGAAGGCAGATGCTTAACTGACTGAACCACCCAGGCACCCCTGTTTTCTTCTTTAAACTTTTCTGTGGATTTCCAGTTTTCTACAATGAGTATATATAACTTTTAAAGTTAGAGATAAGCAAAAAAATCATTCTTTTAAGTAACAGTAGAGCATAACACAGTGTAGTTCCTTACATCAAGACATTTGTAACTCGAGTTGATAGCACTTTGGAGTTGGGCTTCAGGGTGACACGCTGCAGGTCAGAGACAGTAACTAGTGGACTCTGTGCCTTTGGTGATGGTACAAGCTTTAATCACAAAATGAGACAGTATCAAAAAACACACTTAAAAATATCATTCAAAATGTAAACATGCTGCAACAATGAATACTTGAATGCTGAGTATGTGTAAGATAATATCCACTACTCAATTTTTATTTCAAAGCTTCAAAGTATGTCTCTAGTTCTTTAGACTAATGGTTGGTAGATAAAACTGCCTAATTAAGTAATTTTGGGATCTACACATTTTGTTGAGGAGATCCAAAACTACTCAATTAAAACATCAAATACTTACCAGTACATGAGACTTATGTTTATTTTCCAGAAAGGGACAACCAGGTTAAAAGCTGAAAGATCATGTGGGTCAGTGACATCTTACCTTCTTCCTTTCATCAAAACACTGTGTCTTCTTTAATTTCACAGTCAGTAGATCTTCAACTGTTATCTGCATGGGTCCCTCTTTTTTTAATGGTCCAGCCTTAAAATACATGGAGAGGTTAGAATTCCAGTTGTAACCAGGATATCTAGTCAAACGCAAAATCCAAATCTAGTTTTATTTTATTTTATTTTATTTTTTAAAGATTTTATTTATTTGACAGAGAGAGACACAGCAATAGAGGGAACACAAGCAGGGGGAGTGGGCGAGGGAGAAGCAGGCTTCCCGCTGAGCAGGGAGCCTGATGTGGGGCTTGATCTCAGGCCCCTGGGATCATGACCTGAGCTGAAGGCAGACGCTTAACAACTGAGCCACTCAGGCGCCCCCAAATCTAGTTTTTAAAAACTCACTTAAAAACTAACTCTTATTTACCCTAGGAACCTATCAAATGCTTTTCATTAAAACAAGAATGATCCTGTTTTCAGTACCCATGGATGCTACTGCTATTGTAAAGTATTCATCAAAATGTAAGGCTTTGACAATAAATAAGAGATGGGCCAGTTCCCTGTAACTATACATCTTCCTCAGGGGTCATGATAATAAGACAAGAGTTGAAGGGGTTCCTCACATCAAGGTGAAGTTTTGCTTGAATTACCTAAAAAGTTGACTCAGTTCCCGGAGAACAAGAATGTACAGTCAGAGGGATATACATTATGGCAAACATAATAATAGGCTCTGGATTTAACCCAGCCATTTTATTTATTTATTTTTTAAAGATTTTATTTATTTATTTGTCAGAGAGAGACACAGTGAGAGAGGGAACACAAGCAGGGGGAGTGGGAAAGGGAGAAGCAGGCTCCCCACAGAGCAGGGAGCCCGATGTGGGGCTGGATCCCAGGATCCTGGGATTATGACCTGAGCCGAAGGCAGATGCTTAATGACTGAGCCAACCAGGCACCCCTAACCCAGCCATTTTAAACCAGATGTATCTGGAGTGAAAATTCAGCAGATTTTTAAACAGGGTCATGCTTATCTTAGTGATTCACAAATATTCCCTTGGTGGATAAGTAATTAATGGAGACTGGTCCTTCAGCTTAATGACATTATACTTTAGGATCCACCAACTCTTTTTATTCTGACTTTACTCACTAAGCCACCTTCTCTTCTTAATTTGGTTTCCCAGGGAGGTTTTTCTTTTGGTAAAAAGATATTCTGAGAAGCCATTAGGAATAATCTGATCTACTGGTTTTCATTGATTTATCCTTTAAAAAAAAAATCGCCTTTCTTTCTAAATCCAGTTCCTACAGGCCTGAGTTTTTAAAAACATAATCACTGACATAATTAAGATACGGAATCAGAAAAGAAAAAAAAATGCAGCTTTCCTCTCAAAGCCCTCAGCGTCATCTCGAAAGGCCACCTTGCTTTACTCCTACATTTGACACTGGCCAAAACACGTCATTACAAGATTGTTTCCTACCTGAAGTGCTTTAGTGCGATCAGATCTTCTGAGCGGCACAGGTGCTGTAGGTGGTGGTGGCGGAGGCAGAGGAGGAGGTGGGGGGGGTGGTGGTGGAGGCACAGGTGGAAGGTGGCTGGATGGCTGCGGCAGCGTGGGAGGAAGTACAGCTCGAGATTCTCCAAGGGTGGTTAGCACACAGGCGGGCACATTTGTAAATGTTTGACCACAGCTTGGGCAGGAAGATTTTTCAGAGACAGTCTGTAAGAAAACATTACATTTAGCAAATGAATAGCAGATTAATTTGGTTCTTCTGGCTCAGAGTCATCGAGATAATAGCTACCATGTATTGAATGCTTTCTCAGTGTACTACGTGTTTTTAGTATTTTCTCATTTATCACAAGCCCATTCACTCACTCATCCATTCACTCGTGTATTTGTGTGTGCAATATGCCAGGCACTGTGGGTACAATGTGCACCCTGTCTGTGACATCATGGAGCTGACAGTCTGGTAAGGAAGGCAGACATTAAACACACACACACCTAGAACAAAACAAAATAATGCTTCAGTGCAAACAATGAAGTGTGCTGTGGGCATGAATAGTGAGAAACCTGAGAGAGATATTTAGCCATAATCTCAAGGATGAATTGCAATTTATCAGATCTCAAGGGAGATAAGGTTTGGGGAAAAAGACTCCCCCTCCCCAAATTCATATGTTGAAGCCCTAACCTTAGTCCCTCAAGATGCCTTTGGAGATAGGGCCTTTAAAGAGGTGATTAAGTTAAAACGAGGTCGTTAGAGTGGGCTCTCATCCAATTTGACTGGTATCCTTATAAAAAGAAATTTGAACATACAGGAGAAACATCAGGGATGTGTGTGTAGAGAGAAGACCATCTGAGGACACAGTGAGAAGGCAAGCCGAAGGAGAGAGGCCTAAGAAGAAACTAACTCTGCCAACACCTGGATCTCAGACTTTTAGCCTCTAGAACTGTGGGAAAATAAATTTCTGCTATATAAGCCACCCAGTCCATGCCACTTTATTATGGCAGCCCTGGGAAATGAAAAATAACCCTATGGAATAAGATGGTGTATTAGTTTCCTATGGCTTCTTTATCAAATTATCACAAATTTGGTGGCTTAAAACAATTGGAATTCATTTTTTTCACAGTGCTGGAGGCTAGAAGTCTAAAACCAAGATGACAGCAGGGCTGTGCTACCTCCCAATGCTATAGGGAAGAATCTGTTCCCTGCGTCTTCCTGTTTTTGGTAGCTATGGTCATTCCCGAGCTTGAGACTACATCACTCCAATCTCTTGCCTGTGCTCCCACTGCTCTTCCTCTCCTGTGTGTGTGTGCTCTGCTCTCTCTTTTGTAAGGACATTTGTCATTGGATTTAGGGTCTACTCAGATAATAGAATATGATCTCCTCATTTCAAAATCCTTAACTTAAGGGGCACCTGGTAACTCTTGATCTCGCGGTCATGAGTTCAAGCCCCATGCTGGGTGTAGAGATTACTTAAAATAAAAAATCCTTAACTTAATTACATGGGCAAAGACCCTTTCCCCAAATAAGGTCATATTTATAGGTTTCAGGGACTAGGACTTGAACATATCTTTTGGAGGCCATTGATTCAGCCCACCAAAGATGATATCATCCTCATTTTTAGAAGAGGAAACTCAGGCCTAGATGAGTGAGGTGATTTGCCTTTCTTCCTGTCTAATTCATCTTGAGGTACATATTCTGGGACAAGGGTGTAATCCCAGAAGCTCCACTGCAAACCAACAAGCGCAATGTTTATTTTTTGAGTTTTAGACATTGAGAATAGGGGCCTTGCTTAGGGGAGTTTGGAGACGGTGGATATTTATGGCTTTTTCTGCCTCTATCTGGCAGGAAAATAGAAATCATCCTGAGTATTTAAAAGAGGGTGAAGGTAGGGGCGCCTGGGTGGCTCAGTCATTAGGCATCTGCCTTCGGCTCAGGTCATGATCCTGGGGTCCTGGGATTGAGCCCCGCATCGGGCTCCCTGCTCCGTGGGAAGCCTGCTTCTCCCTCTCCCACTCCCCCGGCTTCTGTTCCCTTTCTCACTGTCTCTCTCTCTCTGTCAAATAAATAAATAAAATCTTAAAAAAAAAAAAAAAAGAGGGCGAAGGTAACGTGGGAGAGTTGGTTACATTGATGGTGAAAGAGCTGAAAACATACAGGGGACATTGAGGCAGCCCAGAGATTAGCAACAGCAAAAAGCCATGAATACCCTGAGGCTGGAGGGGAAAAGGGAAGAGCAGTATAACCAGATCTCTAGAGATGGGTTAACCCAGACAATCAAGAAACATGGTAGACTTACCTGGAGGGAGCTGGAGTGAGGGAGATAATAATCATCACTGGAGAAACTGCCCAATGCAGAGAACAAAGGGGAAAAACACACTCCCTCCACACGGCCACCAGTCTCTCATCAGTGTCTCCCATTAGCCAAGCACAACCAGAACCAGGTGACACAGAGCTTGGGACACACAGCCTGCATGGCTTAACCCCAGTGCAGTGCAGAGCAGAGCCTTGAAGCCTAAGGAATAGATCTGCGGGCCAATAGGCCCAAGACTAGCACCTGCCTGTAGCCATTCCTCCTTCTGGTGAAAGCAGCATGCTGGTATTCCTATGGGGGATAAACCCTGCCCTCCCTCCCTGATTCTGGATTTCTTTTTATTTAACAATACCAACCTTCAGTGTTTCCTGGAGCTTGCATAATTCACTTTCCAAAACGCAAAACCGTTGTTTTAGACTGTGAAGTTCTCGGTGGCAGAAACGGGATGGAAAGATGGTGTCTTTCAATACTTCTAAACTCTGAAATTCAAAATTAAACAAGTCTGAAATCTATAAGTAACATGATCAGGACAAGAAAAAAGAGAGAAAAAAGTGGTTTGATGTATGTTTTACAGAAGCAAAGACCTACATGACCCCATAATTTCATCTTACCTGAGCTTAGCTTTAGTGTTGTGCTGACCTGAGCACACACACATGCGAACACACATACCAAGTATGCAGAAAAACCATATTGCTGAAAACAGGTATGTCAAACCCATACCTGGGCCATGCAGTTCTGGCACCAGTGGTATATAGACCACATTCTATTTGTCCAAAGTTTTACAGTATCTTTGATATTGGGAAATCTGAAGTTCCAGGATGGTCTTAGCCAGCTTCTGCTAAGGGATGTATCTGCTGAAGGAATAACCACTCTGTAGGAAAAACAAAACCAAACCAATAAAAAACTCCTGAGTTGGATTAACAGCTCTATTTATTTATTTATTAAAGTATTTTTAAAAAAGATTTTATTTATTTGACACAGAGAAAGAGCACAGGCAGGGGGAGCAGCAGAAGAAGAGGGAGAAGCAGGCTCCCCACTGAGCAGGGAGCCCGATGTGGGGCTCAATCCCAGGACCCTGGGATCATGACCTGAGCGGAAGGCAGATGCTTAACTGACTGAGCCACCCAGGTACCCCAAACAGCTCTATTTAAATAACAAGCTAGTTAGGGGGCGCCTGGGTGGCTCAGTCAGTTGAGCATCGACTCTTGGTTTTGGCTCAGGTCATGATCTCAGGGTCGTGAGATCGAGCCCCATTTCTGGCCCTGCACTCAGTGGGAGTCTGCTTGGGATTCTCTCTCACCCTCTGCCCCTCCCCTCACTTGCTCTCTCTCAAATAAATAAATATTTTTTTAAATTATTTTTTTTAAAGATTTTAATTATTTATTTGACAGAGACACAGCGAGAGAGGGAACACAAGCAGGGAGACTGGGAGAGGGAGAAGCAGGCTTCCCGCTGAGCAGGGAGCCCGATGCGGGGCTCGATCCCAGGACCCTGGGATCATGACTTGAGCCAAGGCAGCTGCTTAACCGACTAAGCCACCCAGGTGCCCCTCAAATAAATAAATCTTTAAAAAATAAAATAATTTGGGCACCTGGGTGGCTCAGTTGGTTAAGTGTCTGCCTTCGGCTCAGGTCATGATCCCAGGGTCCTGGGATCGAGCCCCGCATCGGGCTCCCTGCTCTGCGGGAAGCCTGCTTCTCCCTCTCCCACTCCCCCTGCTTGTGTTCCCTCTCTCACTGTGTCTCTCTGTCAAATAAAGTTTTTAAAAAAAATAATAATAATAAATAAAATAAAATAACAAGCTAGTTTTATAGTATGACTCAGGAGCAGAGACTACCTAAAGCCAAATTTTTCATTAAATTCTAGATTTCCAAGATGTACTTATGCAACAATTTATTTTTATTTTTTTAAAGATTTTGTTTATTTATTTGACAGAGACAGAGACATAGCAAGATCAAGAGTCACACACTCTTCCAACTGAGCCAACCAGGTGTCCCAGGAAAGACATTGGAGAGTTTTAAGCAGAGAGGCAATATGACATGTTTTTTAACAGGCTCACTCTGACTGTTCTGCAGAAATATGCTGCAGAGGGGCAAGGGCAGAAGCAGGAAGTCCAGTTAGGGACTGTTTTCAATATTCAAGAGAGATAAAGAAGATTTAAGGATAATATGATGGTTAATGCTTTTTTTTTTAGAAGATTTTATTTATTTATTTGACAGAGAGAGACACAGCGAGAGAGGGAACACAAGCAGGGGGAGTGGGAGAGGGAGAAGCAGGCCTCCTGTGGAGCAGGGAGCCCGATGCGGGGCTCGATCCCAGGACCCTGGGACCATGACCTGAGCCGAAGGCAGACGCTTAACGACTGAGCCACCCAGGCGCCCCAAATAAATAAAATCTTTAAAAAATTTTATTCATTCATATATTTTATTCATTTATTTGAGAGAGAGGACTTGGGGAGGGGCAGAGGGAGGTAGAAGCAGACTTCCTGCTGAGCAGGGGGCCCAGGAGAGGACCCTGGGATCATGACGGGAGCTGAAGCCAGATGCTTAACCAACTGAGCCACCCAGGTGCCCCTAAACTCTTAAAACAATGATCACCACATAAAATTTAGAATGCTCAGTCAAAATTTAATTTCTGATGAGGGATGAATAATATTTTAGTGTAAGTATCCTGTAAATGTTGCATGGGACAATATTAAAAAATATTTTTTATCTGAACTTTAAATTTAATTGGGCATTCTGTATTTTTATTTGCTAAATCTGGTGACCCTGTCCTTAACGGATCAGATTTTTAGTATTTTTTCTTTTCCACACTTACGCCTTACCTTTCTGGTGAGGGTGGCGGAGGAGGAGGGGTAATTAGCTTGGGCTGAAAGTGAGAGGCTTCTCTTTTTTTGAATAATCTTTTTGCTTTGGCTTTTAGCTTTCTTCTTCGTTGCTTGAACTTGGGCATGATTTCTGTAGAGAAATTTTTTTTTTACATTTTTATTTTAGAATAATATATACATATAGAAAATGTAAAAATCTTAACTGTACAGTTCAATGAATTATCCAAGTGAACACACCCTTGTAACCACCATTTGGTTAGGAAATGAATCGCTGCTAGCGTCCCAGAAGTCCCCTAAAGTGAAGAAAAATTTAAAACCAGGTTTTAAAGTTTCTTTAGAGACTTGGCTTTGGCATTACATCGTTCTCTAATTTTGTTTTGCTTGTCTTGTTTTTCTTCATTAAGTCAAGTGTATTTCCATTTCTTGTAAGAGAGAAAATAGCTATAGTTGGGTTATGGTCAGTTATTAAAAGAAGTTTCTTTCCAGTAACATTTACTGAGCACCCACTGTGATAGATGGAGTTGGTAGAAGAAGAAACAAATTTAACCATTGAATGTCCATTTGCTTTTGGGCACCTTCACAAATACTTTCTCAGTGAATCCTCACTACCCTGCAAGATTTTATCCCTGAGGAAGAGGATTTTTATTCCCATTTTTACATTAAGAATAAACTGAGACACAGAAAGATTATATGATTTGCCAGTGTAATGTAGTAAATAAATCTCTGAAGACCGTGTTCTTTCTAACACTCTGTGGTGCAACAGTTGATTAAATAGGTGATATACAATGTAATAGCAGTTACCCCAAATATTTCAAAACATTTATTTTAAAGCATTTTAAAACACTATCTAATGTATTTAGATTTTAATCTAGATCCTTTTCTGAAGAAAATTAAGTCAGAGCTAGTTTGATGTGAAGAAGGGCTTTGCTGGTCGCTGTTGTTGCTACCTGAGGAACAAAGATGTCATTATTCAAGTAAGCGGAACTAAAAATGGTCTCAGGGGCTGGGCCTCCTACCCTTCAAACTCACATTTGAATAGGAACAATTGGCCTTTAAAATACACATTCATTCCACTTTTGTTCACCCAGTAACCTTTCAATACTTGGTATGCAGATCTAGGCTTGCTCAGCTCTCAGATTGCACTGGCTGACGAACCTCCTTTTTTAACTGGCTGTGGGTTGTAAAAACTCTGAAGTGGCTTACTGCAGTACCAAGAGCTTTGGTCTTGCAGAGGGTACCCCTAATGGCAATGGGTGACAGGGCATATTACCAACAGTCCTTCTAGGAGGAAGGGTTCTCAGTAGCATCTTATTGAACTAATGCCAGGTCTCAAACTAGCAGTTTTCCTTAATTGTTCTTAGAGACATGGGAGATATACGCAAAAAAATAGTTAGCTGACTTCACTTGTATTATATCACTTCTTCCTGCTGAAATAATGAAAGAAGGCTAAGCAGGTATTATTAAATTACAAAGGATATCTAAAGGATTCATTGATTTTTTTTTTTTTAAAACAACACAAAACTAAAATACTCTGAATGAAGATGTTTAGGAGAGCCTCAGAGGAAGCAGCAATCTTGCTGTTGCCTGAAAAAAAAAGATTAAACCTCATCAAATCCATGCCCACGACTTTCTATGGAGAGATGTTATTGAGAACCTCTACCCAAGGTCCAGAGTTCACTGGGTGAAATCTGCAGAATCTGAGACTTCCATGGTAACTTCTTCCTTGTCTTCCATCTGCCCCTATGCAACCCTCCCCCATTCTGTTCCCTCTCTCCCTTTGATGTCTTTTATTAGACATCAAACTGACACAGATAAGTGGCCTCCTGCCTCTTTTTTTCCCCCTATATTCACCAATCTCTCAGTTAGAAAAATAGACTTTAGAAGGGAGATGGACATTCTGCCTTAAACTTGGTAGACCGGCTCCATACCTTTCTCTCCACTCCAATGGTGTGCTGGGGTTGGCAACAACTGATATATTTTCAGGAAGTCTGTGAGTTAGTTCTTAAGCTCATCCACCATTAAAATTAAATTATATAAAGTTATAATCAGGTAATTTATATTTAAGATGGTAATAAAGGGGCGCCTGGGTGGTTCAGTTGGTTAAGGGTCTGCCTTCGGCTCGGGTCATGGTCCCGGGGTCCTGGGATCGAGTCCCACATCAGGCTCCTTGCTCAGCGGAGAGCCTGCTTCTCCCTCTGCCTGCCGCTCCCCCTGCTCATGCTCTCTCTCTCTCTCTCACTCATGCTCTCTCTGACAAGTAAATAAATAAAATCTTAAAAAAAATAAAATGATAATAAATATGATGCAAAACTCATCACTTCCTAATGATTTTACTATTATCTATGCTCTTGCGGTTGTTTACCTTATTGTATCTATATAGTGAAAATGCTATAAAATGCTCATTTCTTTCCAATGCCACATTCAGTGACTTCACATTGAAAACTTGAAATTGGCTATGATGGGAGTGTTTACACCATGGATATTATAAAACACCACAAATCAGGGCTTGATTCATTATGTTGTTGATTGTTAAGGGAGTGATAAAGAAAATGTTAATAATGCAGATCAGATTTAAAAGCATATCTTGGGGGCACCTGGTTCACTCAGTTGGTTAAGCATCTGCCTTCAGCTCAGGTCATGATCCCAGAGTCCTGGGATCGAGCCCCATGACCAGCTTCCTGCTCAGCGGGGAGTCTGCCTCTCCCTACCCCATCCCCCCAGCTCCTGTGTGTGCACAGTCTCTCTCTCTCTTTCTCTCAAATAAATAAATAAAATCTTTTTAAAAAGTGTGTATCTTGTCTGTAGTTGTTACATTATAAAAAGCATAAAATAATTGAGTAATATTCCGGTATTTGAAAATGATTATTCGATTCATCAAAGAAGTTGCTTACATAATTGAAATGAAGTTCCAATATAAATCTTTGGTTTGCTTTATCTTATTCCATAGAGTAAATGAAAAGATCAACTGACATTCCTATCAGGACTATACTTGTTTATAAATTGGAACCATAGCAGGGCATCTGGGTGGCTCAGTCCGTTAAGTGTTCAACTTCTGATTTTGGCTCAGGTCATGATCTCCGGGTTGTGAGATCAAGCCCCAAGTGGGCTCCACGCCCAGCTCAGAGTCTGCTTGAGGTTCTCTCCCTTCTCCTCTGCCCCTTCCCTCTCTTGCTCTCTCTCTCTCTCTAAAATAAATTAAAAAAATAATAAATAAATAAATAAATAAATAAATAAAATCTTAAAAAAAGTAAATTGGAACCATAGCTTGGCTGCAGATACAAGAAGTCTGTAAAAATCAACAACAGTATCCTCTGAGAATCAACTGTATATGAAATTTATAAAAACATTACAGGGGCGCCTGGCTGGCTCAGTCATTAGAGCATGTGATGCTTGATCTCAGGGTTGTGAGTTCAAACCCCATGATGGGTATAGAACTTACTTTAAAAAAAGCATTATATATATTTTATTATTGTTTATAATTTTTTTATTTCCTGTTATTAGTAAATTTATAATAAAATTATGCATATGTATCTATGAAACATGTATTAGCACACTATTGGTCCAATCCCTTCTGAAACATAACAAAAAAAGGCAGTAAAGGAGCGGTGAATATATTTCCCTTTCTTTCTTTTTTATTTTTTTTAAAGATTTTATTTATTTATTTGACAGAGAGACACAGTGAGAGAGGGAACACAAGCAGGGGGAGTGGGAGAGGGAGAAGCAGGCTTCCCGCTGAGCAGGGAGCCCAGTGTGGGGCTCAATCCCAGGACCCGGGGATCATGACCTGAGCCGAAGACAGACGCTTAACAACTGAGCCACCCAGGTGCCCCCAAAATTTTAATTTTTATTATTATTTATTTATTTATTTTAAAAAGATTTTATTTATTTATTTGACAGAGAAAGAGACAGCGAGAGAGGGAACACAAGCAGAGGGAGTGGGAAAGGGAGAAGCAGGCTTCCCGCCAAGCAGGGAGCCCGATGCAGGGCTCGATCCCAGGACCCTGGGATCATGACCTGAGCTGAAGGCAGACACTTAACGACTGAGCCACCCAGGTGCCCCAAAATTTTTATTTTTTTTAAGAAACCTCTACACCCAAGTTGAAGTTGAACTTATAACCCCAAGATCAAGAGTCACACATTCGACTGACTGAGCCAGCCAGGTGCCCCAAGGAATAGTGAGTATAACATAATGTATAGAGTTGTCAAATCACTACATTGTAGACCTGAAGCTAATGTAGCTTTGTGTGTCAGCTCTACTTCAATTAAATTAAAAAAAAAAAAAGGAGGGGTGCCTGGGTGGCTCAGTTGGTTAAACATCTATTTTTTTAATAAAGATTTTTATTTATTTATTGAGAGAGAGAGAATGGTAGGGAGAGAGCATGAGAGAGAAGAAGGTCAGAGGGAGAGACAGACTCCCTGCTGAGCAGGGAGCCCAATGCGGGACTCCATCCCGGGACTCCAGGATCATGATCTGAGCTGAAGGCAGTCGCTTAACCAACTGAGCCACCCAGGCGCCCAATATCTAACTACTGATCTTAGCTCAGGTCTTGATTTCAGGGTCATGAATTCAAGCCTCACATTGGGCTCCACACTGGGCATGGAGTCTACTTAGAGAGAGAGAGAGAAAGAGAGAAAGAGAGAAAGAGAGAAAGAGAGAAAGAGAGAAAGAAAGAAAGAAAGGAAGGAAGGAAGGAAGGAAGGAAGGAAGGAAGGAAGAAGGAAAGGAAGGAAGAAAGGAAGAAAGAAAAAGGGCAGTAAGGAATAAAAAATTATAAACCCATAAAACAAAGAATGGGAGCAGACTATGGGAGATGATGAATGTTGACTAAATTATGGAAAATGGAAAGCAGATGGATGAGTTGCCAGAGCAGAAGAGAGCGGAGCTTTGATTGCCTGTGGTAGGGAAGCCAACTGGAAGCAAGACAATTCTCAGAAACTTTAAGTAAGAGGATTCTGGACTTGAAGGCACCCAGAACCTTGAAACTTTGGGGTTAAAATAGGATTAATTAAGTCTTTATAAGGATTGGATAGGCCTCTGGAGTCTGTCTTCCAGTCCTTATAGCCAGGCAGCTCCTGGCATTTATGTCCTCTCCAGTAAAGATGGATAGGTTTATTCTCTGGAGAAGGTGAACCATAGAGGTGCTGAATTGTGGGCCATGAGGCATAGCAATAGCAGAGTCATGTGTCATCATTCAGAAGGTAGGGGGTGATCCTGAACTGAAAAGTAAGACTTTGCAATCCCTTTCCTCAGCTCAACCCCCAGAACACAGGCCACCAGTTTTAATTCCCTGACTCAAACCCCCATACCTTTCACTTCCCCTTGAAGAAGACTAGAAGATTCCTCTGCAGGGAAATTGACTTGCCTGAGAAAAAGGACATACAGATATTGACATTTAGGGTCTCCCCCAAATGGCCAAGTACTTGATCATTTACCCACTGGGGTGTCCACAGGTTGATAATATCCACCTCCTGTACTTTGAGCTTGCAATTTTTTTTCTTTTTGGTGCCTTCCTCTGACCTGTAACAGCCAAGGATCATCAGTTACTTTAGGAAAGTCTCTAACATTAAAGACAGAGACCAAAATACACAGAGAGGGGAAAAAAGGATTTCCATTTCAAAGGAAATGGAAAGAATGTAGGAAGCAGACCTGGCACCTGGGTGGCTCAGTTGTTAAGCATCTGACTTCAGCTCAGGTAATGAACTCAGGGTCCTGAGGCCCAGTGCTGGTTGGACTCCCTGCTTAGCAGGGAGTCTGCTTGTCCCTCTCCCTTGATCCCTCCCCCTCCCTGTGCTCTCTTTCTCTCAAATAAATAAATAAAATCTTAAAAAAAGAAAGAATGTAGGAAGCAGAAGAAAAAAATTTTTTTTCAGAAAATGAGACACTGCATTCATGAACAAGAAGGATGAGAAAAAACTCTTAAAAATTAAAAATAGTAGAAATTTAAAAAGTGTAATACAGGGGCACCTGGATGGCTCAGTTGGTTAAGCAGCTGACTCTTAATTTTGGCTCAGGTCATGATCTCAGGGTTGTGAGACTGAGCCCCGCATCAGACTCTATGCTGGGCATGGAGCCTGCTTAAGATTCTCTCTGTCTCCCTCTCACTCTGCCCCTACTCTCGCCCTCTCTTAAAAAAAAAGAAAAAAAAAGGAACACAACAGTTAGAATATAAAAGTTTTAGGAGAGGGCACCGGGGTGGCTCAATCAGTTAAGCATTTGCCTTCAACTCAGGTCATGATCCCAGGGTCCTAGGATCGAGTCCCACATAGGGCTCCCTGCTCTGCAGGGAATCTGCTTCTCCCTCTGCCCCTCCTCCCGCTTGTTCTCTCAATCTCTCTCTCAAATAAATAAATAAAATCTTTATGGAAGAAAGAGTTTTAAGAGAGAACAGAGAAATGGAGAGAATTTTGTCAAATAAACAATACAGAAATATTCTCTAGAATTGAAGGGCTTGAATTTCCAGATTGAAATGGTCCACTCAGTATAATGAATAAAAGAAGATCCACACTGAGGTATGACATCACAAAAATAAAGTGAGGGGGGTCCCTGGGTGGCTCAGTTGGTTGTATCTGCCTTCAGCTCTCACGATAATTGATTGGGGTCAGGGGATCGAGCCCCGCGTTGGGCTCTCTGCTCAGGGGGTAGTCTGCTTCTCCCTCTCCCTCTGTGATCTCGCTCACTCTCGCTCTCTCTGAAATAAATAAAAATCTTAAAACAAAACAAAACAAAACAAAAAAAACAAAGAGGAGATTCTAAAGGCTTCAGGAGAGAGAAAACAGAATAGAAACATGACTGAGAAGAGAATAGCATCAGACTCCAACAGCCACACTGGAATTCTGAACGAAAAAGTTTTCAATCCTGGAATTCTATACCTGGCCAAATGTTCAGTTAAGTGTGAGCACAGAATTAAGATAGACAATAGCAATGTCCAGGATAATGGTGAAAGAAGGAAAGAAAGAAAGAAAGAGAGAAAAGGGAAAAGGAAAGAAAAAAAAAGAGAAAGAAAGAAAAAAGAAAGAAAGAAAAGAAATAGTATTGTAAGCATGTTATTTAGAAACATTGAGGCAGGGGCGCCTGGGTGGCTCAGTCATTAAGCATCTGCCTTCAGCTCAGGTCATGGTCCCAGGGTCCTGGGATTGAGCCCCACATCGGGCTCCCTGCTCAGCGGGAAGCCTGCTTCTCCCTCTCCCACTCCCCCTGCTTGTGTTCCCTCTCTGGCTGTGTCCCTCTCTGTCAAATAAATGAATAAAATCTTAAAAAAAACCCTGAAAAACATGGAGGTAAACACCTGAAACAATTGCAAGAATGGATAGTATTGCCCTTGGCAACTTGGAGTCAGGATTATAGAGAGATGATTCTGAAGACTGCCATTGTTTGTTTCTAACTATAATAAGCTCTGTAGTAGTATTTGACAGTTAACCTCTGGTATATATTATTAGCTAGAAAAATAGAGTACCATCATTCTGAAACTGGGCCTTCTCTTTCTCTTCTTACCCTTTCCTGGTGGTTGTTCCAATTCCCGTGCATTCAAATTTCTAAAGAGTCCTACACAAGTTCATGTATGCCATTTTGGAGATTATTTTCTTCTTTCTTTCTTTTTTTTTTTTTTTAAGATTTCATTTATTTATTTGACAGAGAGAGACACAGTGAGAGAGGGAACACAAACAGGGGGAGTGGGAGAGGGAGAAGCAGGCTTCCCGCTGAGCAGGGAGCCTGATGCAGGGTTTGATCCCAGGACCCCCAGGATCATGACCTGAGCCGAAGGCAGACGCGTAACGACTGAGCCACCCAGGCACCCCTGGAGATTAGTTTTCAATGAAAAAAAAAATCTAGGAACTAAATCATATTTTCTCCTTTCTCTTCTCTCTCTCTCTGTGTGCGTGTGCGTGTGTGTGTGTGTGTGTGTGTGTGTCCTGGTCTCTGGGTCATTGTTACTCTAATAACCTTCTAATTAACTACAGTAATTAATAATTGGCACATGCAGAGAATTCAGAGAATATGTCAAATCTGTCAGAGTAAAAAGGTACAGTCTGAGATAATTCCTAGATTAGTGTTCTATTCAAAAGTAATAACCGTGCTTCCAAAAATGAAAGATAATGAATTCCTACCTCAAAAAAGACAGAAAACTCAACAAGCTAAAGTTTGTTATTACCATTGCTTTATTAAAAGCATAGATATTCTGCAGAGGATACTTGTCTGAAAGAATATCTAACAGTGTTCCTCAAGGTTAAAACACATATACTTGTCCCCTTTCCAGAGGAGTAATGAATGAGACATACAAATTCTCTTTGCTGGACTAGGTGGGATTCCAACTACTAACACTAGATAGAAGTTCCTTTTTTTTTTTTTTTTAAAGATTCACTTTATTTATTTGAGAGAGAGAGAGAGAAAGCGTGAAATGGGGATGAGGCAGAGGGAGAGAAGATCCAAGCCGACTCCAGCTGAGCACAGAGCCCGACTCCAGGCTGGATCCCACCAGCCATGAGATCAGGACCAGAGTTGAATCCAAGAGTCGACAGGCAACCGACTGAGCCACCCGGGCGCCCCTTTTTTTTCATGATTACTTAAAACATTTTTCCTATTTTTTTTATGGAAAAGTACTCTTCCTTTTTACCTGCCTTGTTTTGGAAGGAATTTAAGGCTGATTAAAAACAATCTGTACTACCACGCACAAAAAGGTAGGTGAGGAAATTAGGATACTGTATTATAGAATAGAAAATATATAATATGTATTATATATTGCACTTATATACATATATTAATATACATAAATTAGAAATATTTATCTGATTAATTCATCCTGTCTCTTCTTTCTATCCCTCCCCTTTCTGTCCTGATTTCAGTCATCTTTCCCATTTCTTATTTTTGCTATATAGTCTATTTCCCCTACTCTTTATTTTGAAAAATTTCAAACCTTGAGAAAAAAGAATTCAAGAAAAAAAAATAAAAAAATAAAAATAAAAGATCATGCTAATTCTGGAAAAAAATACTCATTATTCACCTAGATTCACCAATTGTTATCTGTTAACCTTCTTTCTGTATAGGTGTGTGTATGATATATATTATGCACTATATATATAATTTACATAATAAGTGTATGTAATATATAAATTTATATTTTATATGATTTTATATATTATATATTATACACATACACACCCCTAAACAGAAAGACAGCAAATGATGAATCTAGGTAAATAATATGAGCATCAATTATACTATTTTTGTAAATTTTCACAAAGTTTGAAATTTTTCAAAATAAAAAATATGATAAATATACATATATATAAATATATAACATATATATACACACAAATAATAGTTTTTAGTTTTTGGCTGAGCAGTTAGTTGCAGACATCATGATACTTCACACCTAGATACTTAGTACTGAGTTTCCAAACATGGACATGGACTTTCTCCTACAAAAGCACAATAACAGTCAGGAAATTTACGCTTGATAGTACCTAAGAAGCAGTCCATAATTACCCCAATCACCTCAATAATATCCTTTACAGCTGCTCCCTTTCCCTTTCCACACTGCATTTAACTGTAGTGTTTTTTTAAGTCTCCCTTAATCCACAACAGTTCCCTAATCTTTTCATGTAGTATTTGCCTTTCTTCCTATTTATATTTTTGAAGACTCCAGACCAGTTGTTTTGGAAAACGTCCCTCAGTTTGAATTTGTCTGACTATTCCTCTAATGATTCTCCTGACTTCAGTCTTTCTCCTTGCCAATCATTTTCTACACAGTTACTATAGTTAGTTAAAAAAAAAAAAATCCTGATATTCCCTTGCTTAAAAGTATTTGAAGATTCCGGGCGCTTCGGTGGCTCAGTCGGTTGAGTGTCTGACTGCAGCTCAGGTCATGATCCCAGGGTCCTGGGATCGAGTCCTGCATCGGGCTCTCTGCTCATCGTCTGCTTCTCCCTCTACCCCTCCCCCAGCTTGTGCTCTCGCTCCTTCACTCTGTCTCTCAAATAAATAAATAAAAATCTTAAAAAAAAAAAAAAAGGATTTAAAGATTGCTTTTCATCCCCTGGGTGAACTAAATTCAAAGATTGTCACAGTTTAGTCTGATGGCCCTTTGCAGCCTCATCCCTTCTAGTGATTAGTGGTTTGTACTTCAGGTATGCCAAACACCAGATACTCTCTCAGTATAGTTATCAGGCTTTCCCTATGCTTGGGGTATCCTCCAAGTCAACTTATATAGCTTCAAGATGCTGTTACTTTTTCTCACAGATATTTGTTGAATGCTGATAATCCACCATGGTTGGTAGGTGTGGTAGGTTTTGGGATACAATTCCAAACAAGGCCAACGTAGTCTCTGTCCTAATGGAATTTATACTAAATTGAAAATGTCAGGGGCGCCTTGGGTGGCTCAGTTGTTAAGCGTCTGCCTTCGGCTCAGGTCATGATCTCAGGGTCCTGGGATTGAGGCCCACATTGGGCTCCCTGCTCCACGGGAAGCCTGCTTCTCCCTCTCCCACTCCCCCTGCTGTGTTCCTTCTCTCGCTGTGTCTCTCTGTCACATAAATAAATAAAATCTTAAAAAAAAAAAGAAAAGAAAATGTCATCTCTTTTGCGCTTCTATAGCACTTTATACACACTCTTATTATAACATTTGTCGTATTGCATTGTAACTTTTGTTTGCCTATTTATCACCCAGCTGGACTGTGGGCTTTTCAAGGTTAGGATAAATTTTATTCATCTTTGTTTCCCTGGGACCAAGAGTGTAGCAGGCATTAAATAATTTTCATTCAATAAATGAATGAAATAAATCATTCCTGCTAAGTGTTAGCTAGCAAGGGATCTCTTTTTAAGTTAAGGAATATGCTTTACTACAATTACATTTTGTAAACTCTCTCAGTGAGGGAGGTTTTTAATTCTTCAAATCATACACCTTCATATGGTTAAAGGATGGCTCCAAAACTATTTCCAGTAGGAAAGTGCAATAAATAATACGGTAAGAATTACTCTATATTATTCTATATTACTCTATTACTCAGTTGGCACTGCTGCTTCTATTAAAACTCCACCCAGTGACAAATGCTTTTGGTCAGGGGGTACTTCCAAAACTGTGACAGCAACGGAAATAACAATTGCATTTCATTACCCTCTTCATAAAACACATTTTAATGTAGGTTCTTACACTTTGCCATTAAGAGCTTTCAGTCAATTAATCAATTTCCATTACTAGTTCATTACTCTTGAACATTCATAGGGTATTTCTGGTACTTTAATTTTGTTTTACGCAGTGCAACAATGCTTTTTTAGTTCCTGTTTTGTTTCTCTGAAGAGTTTGCAGCTCCCTAAAACGTAGTCCAACACCGTATTGGGCACAAGTAAACAGGGCACACTTTTAAAATTGACACTTTCACAAAACGTCAGACGGTATTAAGAGCATATCAAGGAACAGAGTAATACTGCCTATCAAGAAATATATATTCTCAAACTTTAACGTGTATAAGAATCACTGGGGGTGGGAGATCTTGTTAAAATTCATATTCTGATTCAGTGGGTCTGGGTGGAGTCCGATAATTTGCATTGTTAACAAGAGCCCAAGTGATGCAGATGCTGTTGGTCCCCGGACAACACTGAATAGCAAAGATCTAAAGGAATGTGCAAAAGGAAGGCAGATGCTTTGCTCCAAAACATATTTTGCAGAGCGTTAATTAAATACAAGTATGGTTAGGGTGGAGCCAGGCCGAGCACTTCTTACCCAACCTCAAACCTCCTCTTCCCAGTTTATCTCCCCGAGTCTAGCTGAAGTCCCCACCTCCATAAATCTTAAGAACACAAGCAGCAAAGGCCCGGCTACTGAAGACGCGAGCCCAGGTAACAAAGGGAGATCTCCCTGCACTTACAAGTCTAAGAGCCCCGGAATAGATGGAGTCCGGGTAGAGGCCTCTCCTTCGCCATAAAGAAAGATTTAAAATTAAAACCTTATCATAGAGGGACCAATCATAGCAAAGGTCTCTCCATGATTCGCTCTCTGAGTAGTGTCGGAGCACAGTCTGGTTTGTGATTGGTTAAGAGGTCACCACGTGCTGGCCAATGAACGCTGAGGCGCTACTTGTACGAATAAGTGGAAGGCGGGAGCGAAGGGGAGGGGAAGCAGGAGACCTAAGAAGGTGTGTCACGTCCCCTATGCTGTTTGTGGAAGCTTTTGTGTAATTGGTTGGCTCTTCTTCCGATTGTACCAATCGCAAGCTCCTCTCTGGGGAGCCCTAACTATGAAATTGAAAGTAGAGATGAGGGTGCAGCCAATGGAAAAAAAAAAGTGCACAGCAGCCAATCCTCCTGCAGCGTTTTGTGTCTTTGCCCAACTAGAGAAAGTGTTTCATGTGGAGGGGCGTTACCCAGTCGCCAATGGGCGGGCGCCAGTGAAGCTGAGGAACCAATGAATGTGAGACGTTGAGTGACAGCTGTCCAATAGGGACCCTCAGTGCTAGTACGGTTTGCGGCTTAAGCACCGCCGCGGTCTGAGGAATGTCAACTATTCAACATGGAGGCGGAGGTCGATAAGCTGGAACTGATGGTGAGTGTAAAGTGAAGGAGATCTACTGGGTAGTTTCTTTCTCTCGGATGGCCTCCAAGGTGGGATGCAATTTTGGGTCGCCGGAAACCCCGGGCGGCAGAAGCTGGACCATATTCGAGTTCCCTCCTCTTGTATCAAAGGGAGTCGCCGCCGCCTGGTCTCTTAACCGCCGCGGGGGAAGGGGTTACATCCGGGAAACTCGTGAGGGAAATGGCGGGAGATGCCGAGGGAGCCGGGCCTTTGGAATTCCTTGTTCCTTGCCCTGACCTTTCCGCCCCTCAGGGAGCTGTGGCTCCTGAAGACAGCGTTCTATGCATTTCCCCCCAAAAGACGTGACTGGAATGATCCCTAAACACCCCTAGAATGGGAGAGGTTGTTCACACTCCAAGAAAGGGGGATGGAGGGTGGGGTGGGGAATAAACCGAGGGGGGCGGAGAGAAATCCCATTACGGCAGAGCGGTTCACGTTATCCAAGGCGGGCTGAGAAAGTCTGAGAGAAAGGTTTTGACTTGCGTGCAGAACTTCCTAGCGGCCAAGGAAGCCCCAAGGCCAATTTCTGTTTGGCTTGAAGGTGGCAAGTCCTTGGGTGGGGGAGAGGTGTGAGCGATGGGGACCTGAACCTCGAGCTCCTTTCTTGGCGCACGGGAGGAATTGGAATATGGAAGGCACCCTGCTCTTGCGTTGCCGAATTTCATTCATTTATGAAAGTAGGGGGCAGGGGCGAATCATCGGAAAGGACCCCCGCTGCTGCTTGGCCTGCTCGAGGGCGCCAAGCTGAAGCGCTGTTCTAATTTTCTTCTATGGATCGTCCCCTCACTTGTCTTTATTCCCTTCCTCCCATTCTTAGACTACCAGCTTGGTCGCCCGCGCTTTTTTCTTCTTAGTTCTCCTTGTCTATCTTCAGTCCTTTGCCCCCTGCATTACCTTGTGTGAATTGAGCTGGCTTTCTTTAAAAATGAGGAGTTTGGAGGACGCGCCCATCACTGAACTCCTGTCGGTTTTTTGTTAAAGAGAAATAACAAAATTAAGTAAAAAAGCCCAAATCTTTCTTTTCTATCGCAGTCCGCCGTCCTCCCCCTACCATACTCTGGCTTTACAGCTTAGGTATCATTTGTGCCAGTGCTGCTCTGTCCAAGCTGAACCTTGGGTCACTTCAACATCAGCACTTGTGATCCTGGAAGAAACTGAGTACCACACTCATCCTCATTCCCACCTCTAGAAAATGTGAGAGCTTGATATATCTTATTATTTTCTTCTGATGTATTAATGAATTATAGTGCCTCTCATATACATTTGACTTGAAGGCTTTCAGTTGATTCTAACCATTTTGAGTTTTAATTTTCTTTGTGGGAGTGTGTGGGGAATGGCATGGGGCTGGGGTGGGATGGTAGTGAAGAAGGAAGAATTTTTTGTTGCTTTCCAAACTTGTAATCATGAACTTCTAGATCAAAGTTTTGTTATTTTTATCATTAATGGTCTTAAACAGAAGAACTCAAAACATGTCAAGTATCCTAGTTTGATTCTGTCAACAGGCATAAATGTTTAACACTGTCTTCCCCTTTTCCCCATTCTGAATTCCTCCCTCTGGATGGATATTTCTGCCTAATTTTAAGATGCTAAACTGCTTTTAACAGTTCTTCTCTCCACTCAAGTTGGCTGTTTACTTTTGAGGTACCAATTAAGCCTTTTTTGGACTTTGCATGTGAGTCAATATTCTCACAGGATTTTTTTTTTAAAGATTGAACACTTTTTTTAAAAAAAGATTTTATTTATTTGAGAGAGAGAATGAGAGAGAGAGCGCACATGAGAGGGGGGAGGGTCAGAGGGAGAAGCAGACCCCCCGCTGAGCAGGGAGCCCGATGTGGGACTCGATCCCGGGACTCCAGGACCATGACCTGAGCCGAAGGCAGTCGCCCAACTAACTGAGCCACCCAGGTGCCCAAGATTGAACACATTTTAATTTAAGAAGAAAATGATCAAGTATACATCTTGAGGAAAGGTTTTAGAAAATTGTGAGGTAGCCAGACTCTTAAACTTTTAGGTGTTTGAATGATGGGGTAGTTTTAAAAAATTCTTTGTGAGAGATGAAGAGAAGAAAGCAGGTCTTCTTAAATTACCTGCAGGTAATTACTTGCAGCCTCCTCCCTCCCCTTTAAGTTATTGGTTTGTTTCCACAATCATCAGGGTTTAAAAACTGTATTTGAACTATTATAGTTTTGTTATTACTGCTTTCTATTGATTGGATAGTGAAGGGTGGTGTATCTCATCTTCAGATTTGGCATGTGCTTTAAGATGTTTTGTCTATGAACTGGTTTAATTTCTAAGATTGGAAAGAAATGATTTCCTATACAATCCTCTGAGTTTTGGTTCTACATTACTTGAATAAAGGATTTGTTGAGGAACTAATGTTGAAAATTTAATAAGTGAAAGAGAATGCATACTATTTAACTTTGTAAAGAAAATACTTATTCTCACTTTGCAGACTGGTCCTCTTATTTAAATATTTCATAATTTTCTTGTTTGAATTAACTTCAAATTCAGAAAATTAAACATTTGTCTCTGAAGTACCTGTCTTTAAAACCTGATCCTTGGCTAGCAGAGTTGAAGTATTCTAATACCTGAGTTACGTGGCCTTAGGATTGGGTCAGGTCACTCAAGTTCCAGCTGTCCTGAATTTGAGTTTATTTTTTAGGTGGTTGAATCTAAATAGCTGACCTAGACTATTTAAAGAAAGTTTCGTGAAAATAATGGAAAGTATTTTTGCATCAATCAACATTATTAATAGGGGAATAAGCTCATTGTAGGGTAATCTTTGTTCTCTAACTTTTTCCCTTTCACTTACTGGTTGAGTGGTATTTGTCTGGTGTTCTTTTGGGGTACCACTAGTGATTGTGCACAAAAGTACAGTGTGATACTATGATACTATTTCTATTTCTGGGTTTACATCTGACTTTTAAATGGTTTCTTACTAGTTCAAAGGGTAAGATAATGATAATTGGCTTGAATCCAAGAAAACCTGCGTACTAAATCTCAGAACCTCCTCCTGTACCATTATTATTTCCTCCTTGATGTTTGTACATTTGAAGGAGATGGAGATGATTTCCTCCTATGTTCAGGATCTTTAGGGGTTAACTTAAATTTTAAAGTCCCTTTCCATAGTATTCCCTTAGGTAGGGTCTTGTTTAGGACACATTAATTCCCTGGGAATCTGTAAGCTTTTGAGATAACAAGCCATAAGACGGTTAAGAGCTTTTTAGAGTTTAGTGTAGTTTATTTTATTTTTTAAAAGATGTTATTTATTTATTTGACAGAGAGAGCACAAGCAGGGGGAGCAGCAGGCAGAGGGAGAGGGAGAAGCATGCTCCCCGCCGAGCAGGGAGCCTGATGTGGGATGTGGGATGTGGGGTGTGGGGCTCAATCCCAGGACCCTGGGATCAAGTTTAGTGTAGTTTAGATTCCAGAAAGATAGATTGGGTATTTAGAGATTGGGAAACTTATTTTACTTTCTTTACTTTACTTTTTCATTTGTTTACTCCAATATTCTTTTTTTTTTTTAAGATTTTATTTATTTATTTGACAGAGAGAGACACAGAGAGAAGGAACACAAGCAGCAGGGGTGGGAGAGGGAGAAGCAGGCTTCCCACGGAGCAAGGAGCCCGATGCGGGGCTCGATCCCAGGACCCTGGGATCATGACCTGAGCCGAAGGCAGACGCTCAACCGACTGAGCCACCCAGGCGCCCCAGAAAACTATTATTTTGACATTTAAGTTCAGTTCTTTTTAACATTGATATACATGTTCTTAGGTTTTGGATGTCTTCTGTCCAAAATGGCAACGCTTCTTTAAATTCTTTTCATACTGAAGCTTCAACTGATGCAAGATGCTTTTGTGTTCCTTTCCTACCAATTTCTGCTAACGAATGCTCTGACTTTATTGCACTACTGTACTTTACAGCTAGCAGTGCAATAGTATTGTCAAAGCATCTGAAAGCAGAATGCACACCAGAACTTTGATTCTTGCCTTACATCTTTCTTCAGTATCTGTAATTTACCACAATCTTTGTTGCTGAAAAGTGTATAATTTTATTACCCTAAGTATATGTTTTAGGAAGTCATAATTTGAAAAAAAACTCACTATCGTAATTAATGCACTATGAAACACATTGAGATAACATTTTTAATAGCTGAAGTTGTTATGACTTGTTTAAATGAGTAGTTGTATTTTTCTTTTTTCTGTAACAGATTTGGATAGGTTCTGGCATCTCTTGGGTTTTCTTTGAGTTTTAAGGTGAATTAGTAAGTGATGAAAACAATCTCTGCTGTATATTTCATGATAACTTGCCCCAAATCTTAATTGGTGTTAATTTTGTGTGCTATGTAGTTTATGCTTGAATTTCAAACTTAAGAGTACTTGTTTTAAAGTTCTTTTTTGTAATAATGAAATAGAATAAAGTATGAATCCATTACTTTTTTGGTAATCAGTTTTGAGATATAACTTGCATACAGTAAAACTTAACAATTTTAGTTGTACAGTTTGAAGAGTTTTGACAAATATGGACAGTCATGTAACCACTACCACAGACATGGTTTAGAACATTTCTATTACCTAATGTTCCCTTATGGCCCTTTGCAGTCAGCCTCCTCCTACCAAGCTCGCTGACAATCATTGGTCTCTAGTTTTGCCATTTCTAGAAGTTCACATAAATGGAATCATTTATAGCTTGCAGTTTTTTGTGCCTGACTTCTTGTACTTAGCACAATGCTTTTGAGAGTCATCTGCGTTGTACATATTAGTAGTTGGACCATTTTTATTGCTGAGTAGTATTTCATTGGTATAGACTATTACAAACTATCCATTTATCAGATTGTGAACTTTGGGTTGTTTCCAGGTTTTGCTTATTATGAATAAAGATGTTATAAACATTGTAGTGTAAGTCTTTGGACATAATGTTTTTGTTTCTCTTGAGTAGCATGATAAAAATATGTGCTTCATCTCATAAAA